ACAAATGACTGCGCAGCGGAAACGCAACATGTTATGCTAATATTGCTTATAACGTAAGTATTCCCATGTTATTTCCACTTATCACTGTTGCTAATTCTTCAGTTTTCCATTTTGTCTTTTTCTAAAATGTTTGAATCTTACGTACAACCAGAGCTACGATACAAATCTTAATGTTATGATGTGCGTCTTTACATCGTACGATCTTAACCTTTTACAGACACACTCAAAAATAAATAAATCAATAATAAAAATCCATGATTACGCATCAAATTTCTTAAAAGAACAACGAAAATACAACAGCTCTCAAACACCAAATAAAATAATGTAAACAGATAAGTAATGACTAAGAAATGCAAATACTCTGAGGGCAAAAAAGCCAGCATCCGCATCTGGCCAGAGAGAGAGAGAGAGAGAGAGAGAGAGAGAGAGAGAGAGAGAGAGAGAGAGAGAGAGAGAGAGAGAGAGAGAGAGAGAGAGAGAGAGAGAGAGAGATTAAAGCCCTGGAGATAAACAAATGCATCGGACGCAAGGAGACGACATAAATCTATCATGAATGCAATACAAATTATTTTCTAATTAGCAATTATCTCCCCGAGCACAAGCTATCATTCGACTTTGCAAAAGATTTAGATGCAACATGACGGTTCTTCCTCTGACATCAAATCATCAATGTGATTAAGTGAAGAGAGAATGTGTAATGGAGACTGGTAATGTGATTATGCATTGTGTCTCTCGATAAAATGATTCCAGGCGATCAGAAAAATGTAATCGAAGTCATTAAAACGATGCCAGTGTAACTACAAAGAGTAAAATCAAAACATGAGAAAATAAGACGAAAGATCTTTGTTTGTCTAACTATACTCAATATCTCTCTCGCTCTTTCTCTTTCTTTTTCTTTCTTTCTTTCTTTCTTTCTCTCTCTCTCTCTCTCTCTCTCTCTCTCTCTCTCTCTATATATATATATATATATATATATATATATATAGAGAGAGAGAGAGAGAGAGAGAGAGAGAGAGAGAGAGAGAGAGAGAGAGAGAGAGAGAGAGAGAGAGAGAGAGAGATATACACACACAGACGCACACGCACACGCATACGCACACACACACATAAACTGCATATATTTCGTCTTCATGCCTGTGTGTTTTCCTCCCGTATTTTCGCTCCATCTCCGCAACGACACCTGAAATCGAGACCCAAATGGAACAAATGCATCCTCTCCCGCCGGAGTCAGGGACATATCTTAGCGCCTGATTCCCCGGCCCGGAGGAACAGCATCACCAGCATCGGAGTTTCTTTCACGCGGACCTAGCTCTCCTCTTGCTATCCTTCACGTCCATTTCCTTCTCTCTCTCACTTTTTCTTTTTCTCTTTTTGTTTCTTTTGTTTGTGTGTTTTGGAGTGGACAAGGGGAAGAAAAAGGAAGAAATGAGAAGAGGGGAAGAAAGGATTGTTGATGAAGAGGAGAAGAAGAAAAAGGAGAAGAAGAAGAAGAAGAAGAAAGAAAGGTGATGCTGATTAGAATTGAAGGGATTTAGCGAAACGGAAAATCGACACGTTAACAAAAATAGAAAGATTTAAAAACAAAACAATAAAATTAAAAGTCAAAGAAAAAAAACACGAAGAAAAAAAAAACATAGATACAATAAGAAATAAACATAAAAGACATGATCGATAATGGGGCCAAATAAGACCAGAAGAATAAGAAAATGCCTGATAAAGACCAGTAATAAACGAAGAAAGAGCGACCAGCAGGGCCCACGCTCTCCCCAACAGCGATACAACAATGGGTAACTGGATACCCGGCCGTATTACTCACCTTATTCATGTGTCGTGAGTAACAGATGCAGCTGTATGCAAATGTTGTGGAGCCTTGAGATCATGAGTAATAGACAAAGCGGCCGCCGGAGTGTGTTAGCTCCTCCCCCCCCTCCTTCTTCCCCACTCCCCCAATTCCCTACGACCTTCCTTGTCTTCCCCACTCTATCCAGTCTTCTATTCCCCTCTCTTCCTCTTCCACACTTCCCTAATTCTGTAGCCGCTCTTCCTCTTCCCTCCTCCCCTCCCCCCCCCAAGTTTTCTACCCAACTTTCTCTTTCCCACTTCCTTTCTTCCTCTGCCCTCTATCCTAATCCTATACCCATTCCCCTTATTCCTCACTTCCCTAAGTCCTATCCCCTTTCCCGTCCCTCCAATTCCCCATTTCCCTAAGCCTTCATCTCCCCTCCCCCTCCCCTTCCTCACCCCCACGCGCCTCCTCCCGAGACAGTCAACGAAAATGGGCAGCCAGGGGGACGTGGACACCTTTCTTTGTCTCGTCTCTCTTTCTCTCTTTCTCTCTCTCTCTCTCTCTCTCTCTCTCTCTCTCTCTCTCTCTCTCTCTCTCTCTCTCTCTCTCTCTCTCTCTCTCTCTCTCTCTCTCTCTCTCTCTCTCTCTCTCTCTCCCTCTCTTACGCTATTTCCATTCATCTCTCTCTCTCTCTCCCTTCTTCTAACCTCCCCATGCAAAGAGTCCCTACTATCAGCCATCAGTACTAAGCAGCGACCACTCGTTACCGGGGTCATCGCGGGCCAGCTGATACGTTATCGCTTGATCAGCTAGGCCTACGACTCGGAATTACGTGTCTCGAGCTGGAGGCCGTAAGGAGCTTCCTGATAAAGTGAAAGCTTATGAGGTGAGTATGAGAGGACGGTGAGGGACGGACCTTAATGAACTTTATGAACGTTCTGTCCCATTTTTTTTCGTCCTGTGTTGACTAGTTGGTTTAAATGGGTCTTCGCATTCATACTTTTCATTTTCATGTTTATTTACTTATCGCGCGTTGAATGAGGCGACTGTTTTGTAACAGATATGTATGATTTATGAAGCAAGGGAATGAACTTACTTTTTAATTCATGTGACTGTGCATAGACAGGTCTGTACTGAAGAAAGAGAAAAACTGCCTAGTTTTATCTATAATAAGAAAAATAACTCGAGCATCCTAAACTCTGTCGAAGTAGTCATCTTATTGAATTCTGTTTTATATTTATTATAAGGAACGTTTACCGCTTCATTTTTTCACTTCCTCTTTCTACCGCAACTGATACTTCTCTCTGCAATAATTTTTCTTCTTTACTCCTCCGCTTACTTTCTTTCTATTTTTCTCCATTTACTCAGTACATTCTCTAGTTTCACCCTACCCCAGTCTTTGTCTATTTCGTCTTTTCTTGTTTATTCAGTTTTCCTTCATTCATACTAACCCTGTTTTCTATTTAAGCGTATCCTTTCGTCTTTTACTGTCATAGCTTGTCATCACCTCCACCTTCTTTTTCTTCTTCTTCTTCTTCCTCTTTCTCCTCCTCCTCCTTCCCATTTCCCACCTTCGCCGCCTCCTCCTGCTACTCTCCCTATTCCTCCTCCTCCTCCTCCTCTTCCTCCTCTACCCCCCTTTTCCACCTTCGCCTCCTCCCGCTACTCTCCCTATTCCTCCTCCTCATACTCTTCTTCTCCTCCTTCTCCTCCTCCGCCAAGCACCTGCAGGAGGTAGACGCCCCCGGGACTCGCTAATGCGGTGATATACAAAGGTTTATAAGGCCCCATCGTATGATCAGGGCCAGTAACCATCGTGAGGCTGTGTGGTTCATTCTACTTACATCGCCGCAACCCGAACTGTTCTTAATACCACCCTGCCCCTGCATCTTCCCCCTACCCCTACCCCTGCCCCTGCGTCTTCCCCCTACCCCTACCCCTACCCCTGCGTCTTCCCCCTACCCCTACCCCTGCCCCTGCGTCTTCCCCCTACCCCTACCCTACCCTGCCCCTGCGTCTTCCCCCTACCCCTACTCCTGCCCCACCCTACTGCTCCCCTACCATCTACCCCATAACCACCCCCTTCCTCTCTCTGATCCCTACCCCTACACTCCTCCCCCTCCACCCCTCATGACGAGTGAGATATAGCGATAACATTATTGCCCGATATCATTATTATAATCAAGCCATCGCCGGTCTACTGTTTGATAAAACGCAGGGGCTTCGTGGTTGTTGTTTATTTATGGAGTTCTTCTTGGGATGTTGCCACTCCCTCGTCTCGTCTTTTCTCCCCCCCCCTTCGCTTATGCTTGGAGGTTTCTCGGTTCTACTTCTTGTACTTTGAAGAGTAAGAGGATTAACACATCTTGGGGATTTGTTGCATTCCTTTGGGTGTTGTTTTCATATGCTTGTCTGGCTTCTTGTCTGTTTCTCTGTTTTGTTCTCTTTTCTTTTGTTTTTTGTTGTCTTTGTCATCTTCGTCATCCTCATTCGTTGCATCTATTTTTATTTTTTTCTCTCTCTCTTATTTCTGCCTGCCTGCCTGCCTGCCTGCCTGCCTGCCTGCCTGCCTGCCTGTCTACCTGCCTGTCTCTCTCTCTCTCTCGCTTTCCGTCACGACTGGCTTTCATCCACGAACGGCCGTCGCAAAGGAGAGAAAAATCCTAGCACTCCTTACCATCGCCTGCTATCCCCTGCCCCTCCCCCACAATCCCCACACCCACACCCCTCCCCACCCTCCCCCGAGCCCCTGGAGAGTTCTGCGAGATTAAGAAAGTCCAAGTAATCACACAGCGCCATCCGAGCGGCATGCCATCGCTCTATGATATCTACTTTTTAGCGCTATCTCCCCACAGTTAATACGAGGACGGTTCAGTGTGCAACAGCCTCTTACCTCAATTACGCCGGAGAATTTTGCGCTCGGCTTTAATGACCCCTCTTGTGTGGGCCCGCTGGGTGTTGCGCGGGAACTTAATATCGAGTTGATGCGAAGGAAAGTGAAGGGGAAAAGCACAGAAACACGATTCGGAACGATAGGTTGCGTCATTTAACGGATCCGATATTTGGCTGCGAGGGACTTTTTCGGGAGGAAAGGGAAGAAAAAGTGGAGTTGGATGGCGTCTTGGGCTGGAATTCGATTAGGAACTTGTGGTATATCGCTAACAACCCTTCAGCTATTTACTTTTTTCTCTCTCTCTCATTTTCGGTTTTCTCTCTCTTACTCAAGGCAGTACATAAAATGCCTTCCCTGGGTTCACCGTTATCTTTGCAACAGACCTCGACAATGGCAACGCATCGGTTCCTCCATTCCAATAATACTAGTAATAATAATAATAATAATAATAATAATAATGATAATAATAATGATAATAACAATAATAATATAATAAATATAAATAAATCAATATTTAAATCGTCAACGAACGAAACAGGCAAAAATCCTTTCGAATTCAGTCCTATTAGCTTCTTCCTCCTCAACAAATTCCTATAGCAGATTCACTGCAGATCACTCACTACTGATGCATCTCTCCCACTTACACAGTTCATCCTCTCTCTCTCTCTCTCTCCCTCTCTCTATCTCTATCTATCTCTCTCCCTCTCCCTCCCCCTCTCCCTCTCCCTTTCTCCCTCCCTCTCATCCTCTTTTTCCCCTCCATTCCTTCTTGAAAATTTGTCCTTTCTATCTCCTCCTTATCTTTTATCGCACACACAATAGATAGCAACCTGCCTGCATAAACATAAACTCTGACTCCAGCCCCCCACCCTCACCCCCACCCACCCACCCCCCAAACTCGCACCTCTGTCACCCCTGCCGCCGTTATAGGGTCAAGAGACAGAGGGAGTTGCACGAAGCTCCGTTGCTCTGCCCTGTCGCGACTCCGTAATGACAAGCTCCATCTCTAGAGAAGGAAAACGGATGCTTCATTACCATGCACTTCATTATCATTATGGCTTTCACTGTCTCGTCTTCTCTAACGGAGCTTCGTCTACAAAAGAAACGGCTTTTTCAAATATCGGTGGTCTGGGAGACGGAGTGGGGAGAAGAGACAAGATAAACATAGGTGCGATGGGCAAGAAAGAGGAGGGGAA